CGACATGGGTCTCCATGATACGCTCCACTGTGCCAAAGACCACCACAGATGGCACACAGCGTCGTCATGCAAAATTGTTTCCTAAAACTCATTTTAAAAAAACTCAATAAAACTCATTCCTCAGAATACGACGCAAGGAGGAGGACGATATACAAAGGAATATAATTTTATTAGTTGTGTACTCTGTGCACAACCCGTCTGAGTAGCGTGCTTCACTCGCTAAGCACCGCTGCTATATATCCAATTGAAGGGTAGGGAAAACGCTAGCGCGATCTGATGATTGTTTATCATTTTCCATATACATTATAAAAATATATAACCATGAACATTTATGGAACTGGGAACTGTATTATAAATCTTGTGTTGTAGTTATTATTACAGTAGTAGGAACTATTCCAAAATTGAATATTTGTTCAAAGCAAATCAATGTAGTTTCGTCAACGTGTTTACATTATATGAGTACATATAGTTCGATATTGTTACGATACGAGGCAACGTGCTTTGCGCGAAATTGCATTCTATGTAGCGACATCGACGTTAACAAAAACATTGCCTATTATCGACTATTAATTTGATTACTTTGTTCGCTATAGGCTTTACAATTATAAATGCCGAACATTGGACACGGAATAATGCACGATAAAAGTAAACGTCGATAGAATCGTGTTTAGACTCCAATATAAAAAAGTTTTGGGCCAGAACCCACTCCGAAGGTCCGCGCTGGTCCAAGGAGGTTAGCAATAATAAAATCATTCATCCGACGCGACAGACGACACAGTGAATACCGACCCCAGACATTATTGATTCGAAACAACGCAACACTGTCGTCTGCAGTCGCGGCGCACGACGACTACAGCAAATACCAATTATTAATTACCAAAGTTACGCTCGTGTTGCCGATTGTACTCAGTGCAGAGTTTTCCTAAAATCCATTCGCCACACAATAGCTGGCTGCAGCGAGTGGCGGCGTGGCGCAACAGACGCGAGGAGTTACATAAAAATACAAGTCGGACCGCCCGACCACGAAGCAATGTTGCTACATCGCCAACCGGCATTGTCCATTCTTTTTACACCAACTCTTCCATACTCTCATAAAGATTATTACTGAACGTATACTTTTATGACAACTGGGCATTGACTTACAATCAACTGGGAGTCAATTTATTATAAAATTACATTTAGGATATCATTGAAGACTATTTTTATTTGACATTTTTATTTGCTTGGATTTTTAGTCGATATTAGGTCACTTCGAATCGATTATGTCGTGATCGTACAAAAACTTTTATTCTGTATGTAGTTAGTTTTAAAGATAGACTCAATTTTCATTACCGTGGAAAGGAATAGAAAATTATTGTTGGTCAACCTAGCATAGCATAATCAACTATTTTTCGTCAATTGTGTAACGAACAATAATTATAGATACGAGTCAAAACACCCGGACTTCCGGAGAATTCTCGCGCAGCCACGGGAATTTTTCGCTGGTATCGCACTATCTAGGTTAACAAATATCACAAAGTTTATTATGCCACGTACACAAAATGCAGATTCTTTAATTATTGTTTGACGCCAATGTAAAATCTAGAATTAGATATGTATGATGTGAAATCTGGAATTAGCTATGTTTGATGTGAAATCTAGAATTAGCTATGCTAGCGACATGCAAAAAATGAATATGAATCTTTAATTTCAGCAACTTTAGTCAAAATCGTCGTCTTCGTGCATACGTTATCTATGCGAGATTTGAGCGCGATGCGTGTGGAGACGTGCACGTGATTGTCACTTGTACTTCCTCATTAAAACACTATGTATATTACTGAAGAGTTTAAACGGTCAATTAGCATCACAAGGAACACACCTATCTTACGGTGGTACACACCTAATATGAAGTTGTTGAACTGAAATCTACGATATAATACGTCCGGCCAATATAAACTACAAACGTTAAACATGATAAGCGGGCGCCGTCGTAGCAGCAAAACAGAGCGTTCTGAGAACTTCATTTCATTATCTTTAGTGCGAGTGATCGTAAACAGCGCAGTCGGCGGTGACACATCACGGTGATTCAGCGCCCGCGCCGTCGCTACGAGCTGGGCGCACACAGTTGTTGCTTGACGTCACTCTGCGTCCGGCTGGACGGAATTTACCCATCAGTCGATAGCTCGTATTTTAGATGGTGGAAAGCACGGCATTTCCATTACGGTACTGCTTACGAGTCAATGCGCTTAAGACATAACGGTATAGTGAATATTCATGCGCCCCGTGGTACAAAAAATTATCACTAGAATAGTATCACCTAGAATTCTTGTGGTGGTACTACTGGGAGCAGAAAATTCCCATTAGTACCACTAGTGGTAATTGTCGGTGCTACTTAGTGGGAACGAAAGGTTCTACGATATTCATCATGACTTCCAAATCTTCGAAGCTTGAACGTATGAAATGTTAATCTATGCGTTATTCCAATATAACATGTGTGTCCGAGCTGATATAATTTTCCTCAACAAACAATAGAGGGCAGAGCAAGTAGGCACGTTGGCCCGTTCCGCGACCGCAATTCGAGCCTTTGTGTCCGCTTGTAACCTCTACATCACCTCACCTGAATTCGCTCTGCGACCATCGACTCCCTAACCGGATACTGCAACGCAAAATGTTTTTTTTCTTCACGCCGATGGGAATTAGGTACTGAGACCAACACTGCTACAAAGTAGTAATAATAAATTCTATAGACATTGTACCAAAGGTTTGTTAAATAAATATAAAAATCCATAAAAAATTCTACATCCAATATATTTACCGTCATAAGTAGTGACAATTAAAATTAATACATTTCAATTGCGTTTGAGATTTTTACAAAGAAAAGTTCATGAACTTAACGTATTATTTCCTTAAAACTATTAGGTTCTTATTTCCGTACCACCGTTATATCGAATCGTTTGTAAATGCTTGGGTTTTCACTTTTGGCACAAATATGGAATACAGTATACAAGTAAATCTTCGAGAAGAATTTCTCAAAATATTTCGCATAATTAGCGAATATTCAGTCTTAAGTCACATTGCGTCGTAGCGAATATTAGAATTGATCGCTCCGATATAACGTTTGCTGGAAAATATCTGTATTAGTACAAAAAAAAATCAGTCTAGACAAATACACTCGTCCCTTCGTTCGAAGTTGGCGTGCAAAACGATACCACAGTACACTCATTTTTATTCAATATAATCACTACGCTATAATTTAAAGTATATGTTAAAAATAAAATAGTACCAATAAACCTGAAAGATAAAAGTTCGAATAAATTCGTTGACACTACATCAAAATGCTATCAGATTCTAAAATGCAGTCCGACTAGTTAAGCTTCGTAAAGTAAATGCAAAATAGCAACTTAGAAAAATAAAATTAATTATTATCGATGAATTTTCCATACTAATTGCAAAGTTTTAGTGTACTCCTTGAATAGAATTCTAGGAAGTAATCTAAAATAATCGTTTTAGAAATACAAATTTTAAAAACTCCAAAGTTGTAGTCCGATCTGTTTAGCTCATCTTAATTCGGCCTAACGTTTCATTTGCATAAGTTTAATTTGTTACAAGTGTTTTAGATTTCCCTGTGGGATTAACTACCTACCTATAATTTGTGCACTGGATCACTAATAAATAATAAAAAAAAACGTTATTTACATTGCAAATTATACCCACCTTATCACGACACAATTCCCCGCAGCTTCATTCACTAACGTAGCATCACAGAGAGCAGTTCTATTTGACACAAACAAAATCCAACACTATGAGCACTGTGTATCCAAACTACAGAGAATAATGTCAAATAGAGCTACCCTACGTGCCGTTATTTCAATTTACAGTCTTCATATCATTACAATATCACAATTAAGTTTTACACCCAACTACGAACGACGACGGCACAAGTTTGGCAGTGGATAAATTGTGAAAAATGGAGTTATATATACGACAATTAAAAATCACAATACAGTTAATACTTATGAATATAACTTATCTTATTCAAAATACGAAAAGCGGCGACGAGTGGCGTGCACTAACTTTTGGGCGATGCCATCAAAATCAAATTTTAAATTTCGACTGTGCGGTGTATTACTAACTCTGAGTATGAAATAGGAAGGACTTTTAAATATACCCTTACATTATTAAAAACTTCGAAGAAAAAATACGAAATCACTAATTGCACTAAGTATGAATTGGAGGAATGTCATTTACGAATGTATTTCAAAAAGTCGAAACACCTTCAAAGACCTCTTTCTCTCGTAGTTTCTGTACCCGCTATAGCTTATAAAAAACTACAAAAAATTCTTTATAAAAAAAACGTGTAAATGGTGGTGCTTCATCTCCCGAAGATGTTCGAAGCATGTTGCTAATGTCTTCGAATTTGGTATATTTTAATAATAGCATTGATGGAAGACTACGATTTGCTATAAATTGACTTTCAATATTGTAGTAATTGTGCGAAAAGGCAATACGTTAGGGCTTTGTACGATTACAGAGAAAACAAGTTACCTAATATCGAGTTCTTAGGTTTTCGCGATTGTTACACATAGGAAATGAAACTATTTTTCCCTATTTAAATCGCGTATATTTGTTCATTTCCTAAGTTACCTAATAGTTTCCCCTTCATTGTCATTCATATTCTATCGATCTATCGCATAAACTGGACGTTCTAGTCAAAATTAGGAAAAAGTAATCGATATTCTACCTAACGATATCTTCCTTCTCTTCGCACAAATTGCACCCCTCATGGAAGAATGGCATAAGTGGAATTACGTCAAACACTTTTATTGCTCCATTAGATACAGAAAAATATAACGCACATCCTCTCCAATTGGAGATTAGATACAGAAAAATATAAAATACATCCTCTCCAATTGGCGAGGACGTAGGTTACATTTTTCTGTGTCTAATGGAGCAATAAACATGTTTGAGGTAATTCCACTTATGCCATTCTTCCTTGAGGGGTGCGATTTTATTTCTTTATAGGCTAATTTTTTGTTTTACAATTTATTGAGCACACGCCATGTCGTCACCGCGTGGTACACAGTGAATTTCAATAATTCAATACACATATAAACTAGGAAGTGATGTCAATGCGTGGAAGCAACCTCAGTCTTAGTCAATCTTCTGATGTGATCCAGTATCGCCGCGACGTCCCTCTACACCCGACCGAGAGACACTGAAAAAAAAAAAATAACTCCTTTACTTATAGAGTTCATAAGTTTTTGCGATTGGAAATCAAACTATTTTTTTCGGATCTAGTCATACTAGTTTGTTAGCCTGAAACGTTGATTTGTTTAAAAAAATAGCCCATGAAACCAAATAAAAAAAAAAAATACTGTCCTATTGTGGAAATGAGAAAACACAATTTGAAAGTTCAAAAAATTACTGAATGAATCCAATAAATATATCCCCACGTTAATAAATGGATAACTAAATATTATATATAAATAAAAACATTCATTTTATTCCATTCAGTTTTTTTTCAAATAGATTCTTCTCAATGCTTAATTTTCAGTTACGACAGTATTTGGTTTCATGTGCGAAACATACGCAATTGTAGATACGAAAGAAAATTTCATTCATTTTCACGGACAAAGCCTTTATAGATCCAAATGTTTGTCTCTAAAAATCGAGAGTAAAATATAAATTATTAATGTGCAAGGTAGCAGGAGGTAGTACGCTGAGACAACCTATTATCTACAGAAAAGATATGGAAATATGTACTATACAATTTTTTTATTCTCGGTGACATTAGATGTGCTCATTAAATTATGGTGTCCAAACAGGCATGGCACTCATCAACTTTATATCTCAGAGTGACGGGCGTAGTGGCAATGCTCCTCAGATCTTTGCGGAATAAAGCTTTGTTTAAAGCTCAATCATTCTACAACACTAAAAAATGCACCTTTTTTATGATGCCAATTGATGGGACAAACAGTCGTGCGTCTGGTGGTAAGCGACACCGTGTCCAAAACAGTCGCAATGCCGCTCAATCGCGAAGATCTGTGGGGCAATGCCACTGCGCCCGTCACCCTGATATTTAAGTTGACAAATCCCATGTGCCTGTACTTTCACCAGCACCCTCACCCTTCAAAACCGGAACACAATAATGCTGACATTACTGCTTGGCGGCAGAAATAGGTAACATGGCCGTACTTCCCTGGACGAACTCTTTCACAATTCTACTGATACTAAAAATTTGAGCACTTTGACCACAGCAAAAGAAGAAGAAACTTATGTCCCATCCATGAATTGTTTTACTTACCAAACATTTATGCTTCTGTAGGTTGCTCTATGGGATCAGTACGAGGCTCGTCGCTGGAAACTGTCTTTACTTTAATTTCAGTTGCCTCGGTGTCCACCTTACAATCTCCTTGTTCCTTGTCTGTTTCCTTCGAGTCTCCGTTGGCGTTAATCAAGCCGTTTTCTGTTAGTCGCGATTTCACTTCTTCATCTTTGCTGACATCGCCATTTATGTCCACCTTAGAATCGCCGTTTGTCGTTTTGCCGTTTAATTGAGGTTCTTTAATTTCATCCTTAGTACCTTCCGTAGGGGACACCTCTTCTGCGAGTTTTACTTCTTCAGTGACAGCTTCTTCTTTCGCATCTACAGTATCCGCAACACCATTTGCCTCGGAACTATCTTCTTTCACCGGAACTGACTCTTCAGCAACTATGTTGTTATCATCCGTTTTGACAGGTTCGTCATTTTCCGCAGCCGTTGCTTTTTCTGCTTCTGTCTGCACCTCCGTTGTAACTTCTTCCCCTTTACTTTCTTTGGGACTGCCTTCTAATTTTTCGTCGGCCACGGTTTCAACATTTTTCGTAACCTTCGCAATGTAATTAGTATCTATGGGACTAGCTTCATTCACGACCTTCTCTCCTTCAGATTCAGTCTTTGTCTCTTCAGTAATTTCTGTAACTGTGTTTAAATCGATATCTGCACATTGTTTCATTTCGAGGTCCAACTCAGTGTCTAAAATCCTATCGACAATATCGTTCGAGTCTGTATTCTCAGTTTCCATATTTTCTTCAACGATGGGATTCAAAAGTGGCTTTATCGGAATGTTATCTAAGTTAGTGACTCCTTGAACCTTCGAAAGTATCTCATCGCATTCTTTTTCCAAAACATCGCCAACGTTTTGCAACTCTTCCATATCTTCAACGGGCGGTGGTTCGTCAACGATTGGTTCGAGATCGTCAATTGTTTCAGCTACTTCTTCAAGCTCCTCAGCCTCATTTGACTCATCGACCTCGGTGATGACAGTATCGATTGTAATACCGTCAGCGGCAGGCTGCCCGAAGTTCTCATTTTTGGCCGCAGAGTCAGGTTCTTTTGACTCTTCATTCTCGGTCTGTTTCTCTTCAACTTTTGTCACTTTCTCCTCCATCGCTTCTTCGACAATCGGTTCCATGTCGACAACCGGCGCCGACTCATTCGAATCGGCCACTTCTTCGACAATGATTTCTTCCTTGTGGACCTTAGGTTCAACAGTAGGAACATCTTCTACCTCCATGTTTTCAACTTTTTCCGTCGCTTTTAGAGGATCAGTAGGCTCAGGTACAGCAGGAACGGTTTTCACATCACTTTTCACATTAGTCTTCGCAACTTTGGCTGGCATTTCTTCTTCCTAGAACAATAACAAATAAAGTTTTCATTTTTTGTTGTATTTAAATTAAACAAGAAAATAAAGAAGGGCAAGGCATAAATATGTTTTTGAAAGTTGATGCACAATAATTTGTGTATTATTTTATTTACACGTTCATTAGAACATCTGATAATTCTAAAACCTGAGATTCATCCCTAAACCCTTACATTACCCAAATGTGGTATCAAGATTAGGGTACCGATTTAAAAAAAGTTAACTAGTCCAATGCACAACTATAAGACGGTGAAACCCCTCTAATCACTAATTTATAAAACCCCAAATAGCTCCAAAATGTTTCCTAAACATGTATAAAGCGGTTGGTAGTTACTGGGGGTAATTTTATACAGGCTGCATATTGAAAGTGAGACATATTCATACATGTCATAGTACATCATGTTACAACTTAACATAGACTAAAATAAAATTAGGATGTGGGATTAGTTTAGATTATTAGTACATAGGAATAAACCGTTTCCCTTTACGCTTGATTTCGAGTGCAATGGGAATACTACCAAGCGAGTGCCGAGTGAGACAGCAACAATAACAACGATTTCACATTTACGTTTTAGCTTATGTTAATTATTTTTTACTTGAACTATCATCGAAATGTTTTACGTACTAAAAAATATAACTTTATGATTTAGTAACTAGTTATCATTTAATAAGAATTGAGGTTTTTGGCGTAGTTAAAAATGTGAAAGCAAATTATTTACAATGATTGATTTTTTAGTTATTTACAGTATATTTACACTTACGTGGTACGGAGCAAGTGTTCAAAATGTCCACCGTTTTCCACAATGCATAGTCTAGCACGGCATAGTAAATTTTGTGTTAAATTGTACAACACAAACACATTTTGTCTCACAGTATAAAATGCTGAGACAATCCTCTCACGCAACACTCTCCGATTTAGGAACATTTCAATAGCTTGCCTCACACTATCATCACTTATTGCGTAAAGTCGCACCATCTCAGTCAATTCGACGTTAGAATAAATATCCATTTTGCGGCGACCGGGCGAGCGGAAGTACAAATAATTTACGTGTCTTCGTTAGATCAAGGTCGCGCGTGCACTATCTGAAGTTGCAAACAGCAATTTCGCGAATGCGCCCGCGGCCCCACCCCCGACCTATGTTTTTCGCCGCTAAGCCGCCACCCGCTACTGCGTCGGAGCAATAATAGTGATGTGAATAGATTTCGATAACTAATGTCGTCCTCAAAATTAGTAGTCGATAAAAAAAATAAAAAAATATTATTTGTAAGGTTTAAGTTCATTAGTTTATTATTTCTTTGGGTTCTGAATCAGGAATGTAACGCACTCTATAAGTATGTCCCACTTTCAAATATACAGCCTGTATAACATAATAATATATACATAGGAAAAAAAACACAGAAAATACGATCTAGCAACTATTTATTACGTAACAATTACAAACATTAAGGACTAAATTAAAAATAAGTGTATGTTAATAAATATAAAATTTTCTACATAGCCATTTAATTAAAGTGAACAATTTTCCAGCACCAGTCCCAAATATACAAAAATAAGAATAATAAACATTAATCACCAATAACCAACAACTACTGCGCCAAACATTGTGCTATTGTTATAATAATAATAGGCTCCGAAAAAGGTATCCTATAATGACGATTCAGCGCGTACAAAATTTAATACAAAATGCATGCAGCTATGATACAATTTTTTAAAATTACTGATATCGAAATCTTTTACACAGCAAATTCTGCCTTATTTTATAGGCATTTTTTGCTTAATAATGCACGCACTGAAATGCATTTAAAGATTGACTCTTTTGTTCCATGGTTGTTAACATGGACAATGGCACGCTCCATTTTAGGGCGTGTTCAAATTAGCCGCTGTTAACCGCGCTGCAGCAGCGATGTGTAAATCCAAGATGGCGGCCTAGATTTATCAAAAAAATGCAATATTCTCAATAAGCACTCCCAAACGTCTATAATTCTCGTCGTCGATCGGCAATGTCGATTATACGTTGTCGATTATATTAATACGTTCTGGCATTCTTTTTATTTTTTTTCTTCAGTTTTAACAAAATATGTGAAAGTGACGTTTCTTCGTCAGAATCCATCGTGTAACTGAGTAGAAAGATAAAACATCACTAAAAATTTTGTCGCACTTTGGCAGCGCGACAGTCGCGCGACCGCCGCATCGGCTTCAGCGCTGCTGCAGCGCGGCTAACAGCGCGGCTAACAGCGGCTAATTTGAACGCGCCCTTACACTTTCGAGTCCTATAGGTAGTGACTTGGGGATGAAGTATCATAAGGTTGAGTCTTGAATATTATGGCAGTATGTATATGTAGTCTTAAAAGTGTAGAAAGTGGCGTGCAGTTAACCGTATATATATGTTAATAATTTTACTGATTTTGTCGCCAAGCATCTTACGGCATGTGAGATTCATAAAAATAAGATAATTTAATTTAGACTGTTAAATAAGACACTGTATTAATTAATATTGATGTTATAATCTAAATCAGATATATCGTTTGCTATCCCTGTGCGTACTAAATAGACAGTATATATGGTATTTCTCCAGGTATGTTTTTTCAGATCACTAACCATGTTGAACTTCAAATATTCTACTAAACTTGGTGACAAAACCGCTACCACGCAGCCAACAAACTTACCTGTTGTCGCAGATTATAGTAATTATTACATATATAAACTCTACAGTGCATGCTAAGCATACGGGAACTAATCAACGGGGCACCTGAGGTTCCGGTTTGCGCTTGTTGGACACTGTCAGTTCGGCAAAGCTGTGCAGACTGGGGAAGGAGGCCTTGACCTCTGCATCAATGGGTTCGTTGCCTTCGCGGCACACTAATGCCGCGTGAAGCCCTGCGGAGCGAGCAGCTTCAGCCTCTGAAAAAAAAATTTCAAAATTGAAAATTCAGGTATTGATTGGACACACTACTAAAATGTTTAAAATAAAGTAGCTATATTTTCTTCTGTTCCAGGTATATGACCTATTAAAGGCAAGCCATATGTACTCGTACTTAACGATTCGACGTTGTTGTTGAACAATGACGAAAATTCCGAGTTAACTACAGTTGGTCCAAGGTCTTGTTAGCATTTTTCAGTTATTTCACTACAGAAAAAAAGAGATCCTGATTTCTTCCTTCTATACGAGCGTCTCACGGCTACGGCCACACGGAGGGAAAGTACCTTAAACACCGTAGATAGAAAATGTTACTTAAAGAAGACTTCATTTTGATTTTAAAAACAATTCGAACTGCATTCAAAGATTTTTAAATAATCGCCTGTCTGAGCCGGGAATCGAACCTGCCAAATGAAAAAAAAAACCTGTAATTTTACTATACTGATCGAAAGCCTCAATTATAACGATTGTTTTCTTTTAAATAACATAGCATCTAAATAAAATGCATAAAATTAAATTTAAAATCTAATTAAAATAATTAGGCACATTTAACTGCAACTTACAATCAATTAAGTTATCAAATGCTCAAAATGTATCCCATTCTGTAGTATACAAATTCTCACTCTTTTGATAATTTCGCTTCCTGTTGTAAATCAACTTTATCTTTTCAAGGTGAATGTTTAAAATTAATAAGTCAAAAGCTTGTACTCATTAGTAATATTTTGAAATGATAATGTCAGTTTTTATGAGCGAGGCAAAGTCAGAGAAAAGTCTATTCTTTTTCCTGGTCAAAATTTCAAATTAAGTGTTAAATTTTTTCGAAATTATTTCGAAAAAAACAATCCTTACTGTTGAGGCTTTCGATCAGTATAGTAAAATTACAGTTTTTTTTTTCATTTCGCGGATTGATTCCCGGTTCAGAGAGGCGATTATTTAAAGATCTTAATCAAGTTAGAATTGTGTTGAAGTGTAGAAGTTGTGGTGAAGTGTAGAAGTGTTCTTTCAGTAAAATGTTCTATCTACGGTATTTAACCCTTTGACCATCCTGGACGCTTTACAGCGTCTTACATTAAGTTGGGTGATACGTCAATGACGCTTTAAAGCGTCAATGAAACCCTCTAATTTCCAATTGAAATTAATAAATAACTGTTAAAGTATTCCTAGTATTATTTGTATATTCTAGTTAAGTATAGTTTGAATCCATGCATTTTATATCCAGTTATGTTCTTCTTTGACTTAGGAAAATTTAATTAATATACGGTGGAAATTAACATGTCACATCACTATATAGGATCACTATAAATAGGGCGCACTATAAGTTTCCGGAACTGGCCACTTACATAAACAATTTAAAAAAAGTTTTAGGCTGTAGAACACAGTTTGTTTCATCTGACTGTCACTTGTTTTCACATTGTGGCGTCATTTTAGAAATTGTTTGTCTACATCACCATGGACTCGTGAAAATTTTCGTAGTGTGATTTTCTACGAACTTAAGTGTAATTTAACAGCTCAGCGGAGCTTCGCTCGGCGTCAAACTGCTTTCGGCGATGAAGCACCATGCAAGACGACTATTTATAGCTTGTTTCATCTGACTGTCACTTGTTTTTGCAATGTGGCGTCATTTTAGAAATTGTCTACATCACCACGGATTTAACTCGTGAAAATTTTCTACGATTTAAGTGTAAATTAACAGCTCAGCGGAGCTTCCCTCGGCTTCAAACTGCTTTTGGCGATGAAGCTTATAGCTGGTTTGCAGAATTCAAACGCGGTCGTGTGTATCTCAGTGACGAATTTCGTGATGTTCGCCAGTCCACTGCTGTGAACAACAAAAACATCGATGCTGTGCGCCGTATGATCGAAACAGACAGGCATGTGACATATCATGAGATTCGGGCATCTTTTAGGCATAGGCATGAGTCAAATACAATCAATACTACACAAACATTTGGGTGTGAAAAAGCTGTGCTCTCGGCGAATCCCACACAATTTGACTGAGGCTCAAAAAACAGATCGCGTCACTTGGTGTAATGCCATGCTTACCAGATTCAACGAAGGGGCGTCAAATTTGGCGTGGGACGTAGTAACAGGTGACGAAACATGAATTTATAGTTACGATCCCAAAACAAAGCAGCAATCGAGCGTATGGGTCTTTCGAGATGAGCCGAAACCAACCAAAGTGGCGCGCGTGCAAAGTGCCTCTAAGTGGATGATTGCTTTTTTTTTTTAATAAAACTGGACACGTGGCTACTGTTACTTTGGAGAATCGTTGTACCGTGAATAGTGATTGGTACACGACCATTTGTTTGCCGGAAGTTATTGACAAATTCCGTAAAAATAACCGTAAACGCCGAATCATCTTGCACCACGATAATGTCAGTTCTCACAAGGCCAGACAGACAAATTAATTTTTGAAGGTGAACAAAGGTGACCTTATGAGCCATCCCCCGTACAGTCCCGACCTGTCACCTAGTGATTTTTATTTATTTCCAAAAGTTATTAACCAGTTACGCGTAACTGCGATGTTCATCACCCGAAGAAGCTGTCGAAGAGTATGAAAAATATGTTTCAGAGATTGTTCATTCGTATGAAAAAGTGCATTAACGCTAACGGAGAATATTTGGGAAACAATAAATTCATTTCTGACCATTTATAGTATTTTTTCTTATTCG